AGATTTTTTTTTTTTTTACTGAGAGAAGTTTTCAGTTTTGTTTGGGGAAGAACAGAGCTTGAAGAAGAGGAAGGAAAGGAGTTATTTAGTTTTTTTTTTTTTCGAATTTTAATTACTTTTTAACGGTCATATTTTTCGAACGGACATATTGTGGAAATGTTAAGTGGATCGAGAGATACTTTTGTCGGAAAACCCTGACTTTTATGTTTTATCTAGTTTTTACCGCATAAGTATTTGAAATTGTTATATAGTCCTCGTTGAGTTTCTTGTTGTAGTACTAATTTATTTTATTTTGCTACCCTAAAAGTATATTTTCTCTTTCTTTTTCACCCCTTAAAATATTTTATTTATTTGTTCTTTGTCTAGATTCCTTCAATTGCAGACTGCAACGGTCTATTATTGTACGTTAAGCAAACGTTAACGCTTTCCAACTTTTACCTGCATATGAATTTATAAATGTTGAAAAATATGAATTTATAAATTATTTTAACCTTTTTTCCGTTTGTTAATAAATTTATGAATTGTAGGTATTGAATACTTTATAATAATATTTAACATTTATGTTTTTGATAAATCATCAAAGTTCGTAAAATAAGTTCTAGGGAATAATTTTTTTTTTTCCTTAGAGAGGGGCAATATATTAAGAAAAAAAAAAGGAGGGAATGCTATTATTTTCAAAAATAAAATAATGGAAAATCTAGCCATACATTACCCTAGATTACACTTTAAATAAGAGATTGAAAATTGTTTGCATATCCAAATCATAATGCCACCATACAGAAAGGAGCCATGCTTAGGCTTTTTCAGATTTACCTTTTTCTCTAAATTATTGAACCAAAACAGAAAGCGATTTAGGTAATTGTATTTTTAATAAAATTTTCAAAATTTGGACTGTGCTCTATTACTCAGAAACACACTTACAAAAAACATTTGATTGGGGCGAATTAAAAAACAAAATATGAATCACACAATAAAATGAATTTATAAATTAAAAAAGGTATTTGGTTTTTGATAATTGTAATTTCTTTGACCCTACCATATTCTTCACACAACAATATTTCCCTCCATTTATATATAAATGGTATTGTCTTTACGTACGATATCTATAAAAAATGTAATCATAACAAATCATTAACTAATATTATCCGTCCATAACAACAATTAACTAAATTGCAAAAGCCGACAATAATAACCACTAACAATTAAACAAACACTTATAGGGAAGACATTTTGAAACTTTCAGATTTGAATTTCCGAATTTTCAATTCACTGATTATATTACTACTAACTTTGTCAAAACCTGTATACAAAAGGACACATGAAAAGAAACAAAAAAAAGATCATCATCTTAAATTAAAACGGACCACAAATGTGTTGATGGACCTTGTAATCATATACTTGGACTCGGACGGTCGGACCACTTCTTCTTCCGACATCACTTTTGCCTCTTTCGAACTCTCTTTTTTTTTACCCAAATTATTATAATTTTACATGTGTTTGTTTTTAGGAAAAATTGAAAATAAAGGATGTTTTTTTTTTTAAATTTGCCCATCTATACCTTTATTATTTAAGTTTGGTGATATATACTTTAATTTAGTTAAAATCMTATTATGYCCTTAATCATAAATATTTGATTTAATCATATTTTATGGAGTAATTTACAATAATATTTATTGGCTCAGTTGGTTGATGAGTTAGAAATTCTTGATTCATGTCTCAAGTTCGAGGTTTCCTTATTTCTTTTGTTATAATTTTTTTATTTAATCAATGAGAATATTTTTTTAAGATAAAAAGAATCAAA